ATTTTTTTAGTAGAAAAAACAAGTTTGGACCCCTTTTTTTTCACGTGACACCAATGAAACCTCCCTGTTCTCTGTTCTCTGTTCTGTGTGTGTCTCCTGTTGTTTATCTGGTTATTTTTATTCAGACTAAGGTCAAATATCTGAAGCGGACCTCGGCCATGCTGCAGGAGGAGTTTGGGGGAGACATCCCGGACAGCGTGGGGGGGCTGGTCCGGTTGCCGGGCGTCGGCCCCAAAATGGCCCACCTGGCCATGGACATCGCCTGGGACCAGGTGTCGGGAATCGGTGGGAACTCGCCCTCCGTCTGATATAAGCCTTTCATGAAGTGTTACAGAGGCTGGGATTATGAGATTAACCGCAGCCTGAGGCTCATCTCTGCTCTTATTTAAGAGATGGTGACCAAGAATAGTGACGAGTTAGTCCAAGACTCCTCCTAAAAGCATAAACTTTAGTGTTGCTGTCTGAAGGTTTAACATTTCAAACGCTATCTTTTTTAGTTATACTCATAATTAAAAAATCAAATAAAACCGGAGCTTTTGGTTTTAGACTTTATTAGTGTTGAATTCTTCTTTTAACAATCAGATTAAAGATGTGTTTTACAGGGTTTGGGATTTAAAAAGTCTGATAACTTAACTCATTTATGACAAACTTCAGTCGCCCCCAGAGTGATTTTCTTTTGGAATAACTGGTTCCTAAACTAAAATATGCTCTATTTTCAGTTGCACTGATTAAAAAAAAGTCACGCTGTAACTTCTTTTGAGTCTTTTCTAACTCTGTTAGACCACAAAAAGGAGATATTATGGTGTATTTAGTGAATATGAGCCCTCTCTTCCATCACTTTCCGGTCTCTACTGTGGCACCATTGTTCCTCACTGTCATGCGTGAAGGATTTAAAGTGAGTTGAGAGCTGATGCTCCTGATTCACCAGGAAAGGCATTTAAATCCTGCTGTTGGTTCCTGTATTAGCCATTTACAACGTGGACCATCACAGAAATAGTGACATCGGGCATTTGTTGTTTCATAGGCCACACTCCCTGCTATCCTAAGTGTAAATCATTATTGATTTATTTTTTAAAATCCTGTCTGATTTGTTTCTGTCCAGGTGTGGACACACATGTGCACCGCATCTCCAACAGGCTGGGCTGGCTCAGGAAACCCAGCAAAAACCCAGAAGAAACACGCAAAGGCCTGGAGGAGTGGTTACCCAGGTAACGGCTCACAAGTAATGACAGAGCAATAAAAAAAGAACAAGATCTGAATACCAAACTGATTTAAATGGGTTCACTTTTAGTAACTCAGTGGGTCATTTAATAATTATACCTCATCACTCTTTCCCACATGGACAGACTCATTCAGAAAATTCAACTTTGTACCTTTGTACACAAATGGTACAGATTATTCTAAGGAGTTAACATATGTTAACTTCTTGGAATAATCTGTACTTTTTGTTTTTTTACTAATGTAGTAAGTACAGTATCTTAAACTAACTTGCACAGAGTTATTTCTATGGCTAATATATAAAGCCTATTTTTTTATAAGGATATTTTGTCATTTATTTAGATATATTTAGTAGATGGACTGGATGGTGTAAATGTTCTAAAGGTAAATTAATAGACAAGATGAAAGCATAGTCATTTTTGCCACAGTGCACCACAGACTTTGATTTATCTGTTAGATAAATTGTAAAAAAAAAAAAATTGTAAAAATGATTTGGGCAAATTAGGCCTTAAATGGATCCAAGCTTTAGTGCAATAAAGTCAGTAACATTTTTTGATTTGCTGTGAGTTTACAATAAAAATAATAAGTAAAAACCTGCTTTTTCTTTTTTTTACCGTTTGCCATTCTGGCCTCAATGGGTCCAGAACGTGCGTGTTTAGGTGACCTGAGGTCTGTTTTGCAGGGACCTGTGGAGTGAGATCAACTGGCTGCTGGTGGGCTTTGGGCAGCAGGTCTGTTTGCCCGTCGGGCCCCTTTGCTCTGTCTGTCTGAACCAGTTCAGCTGTCCGGCCGCCCACAGGTGCTCCCCGGCCAAAAGGCCCAAAGCCTCCAGCCCAGAGTCCACCCCCAGAGTAAAGCCTGAGGCTGCTGCTAAAGGAGGAATGGTTTCCCCCACAAGACCAAAGAGGAGGATAAAAACGGAGGATAAAGGCTGATTATTGACACCAAACGCTGATTCATTTACTGAACATTATAAGTGGTTGGTCGTTTTTATCTGTGGGCCCTTTGACACTATAAAACAAAAGCACTTTTACATTTAATATTACATCATTTTGTACCTATATATCTTTTTTAATAAAGAAATAAAAAAATGTGCAAAGACTTGATGTAAAGTTTGTTTTAAGTTTCTCATTACTTTACTCTTTATATTCTGACAAAAAAAGTAATTATGAATGGGGGAAAAAATAGATTTTTGTCATTTCTAAGGAGTTTGAGGTCCCATATTCAGCTTAAAATATAAAAATGAAAAAAAAATATTACTAAGGAGGGGATGGTAACAGTTTTAAACAAAAGCCAAACTTATTAAAAGCCCCACACACACAAAAAATGAGCCAGGTTTGGTGCCCTCGATCAGCCAAACACCTGCCTCACACTTTCATCAAACTGAGCATCATTAATCCT